CAAATTGGCCAGGTGCGGTAGCTCATGCCTGTAATCCCAGCACTTTGGGAAGCTGAGGTGGGCGGATTACTTGAGCCTAGGAGTTCTAGACCAGCTTGGGCAACATAACAAAACCTGGTCTCTACAAAAAATACAAAAATTAGCTGGGCGTGGTAGGGCACCTGTCATCCCAGCTACTTAGAAGGCTGAGGAGGGAGGATCACTTGAGCCTAGGAGGTTGAGGCTGCACTTCAGCCTGGATGACACAAGACCCTGTCTCAAACAAAAACCAAAACGCCAAAAAAACCCCACATCTGGCCAGGTGTGGTGGCTCACACCTGTAATACTAGCACTTTGGGAGGCCAAGGCAGGTGGATCACCTGAGGTCAGGAGTTCAACACCAGCCTGGCCAACATGGTGAAACCCGGTCTCTACTAAAATACAAAAATTAGCCGGTTATGACGGTAGGTACCTGTAATTCAAGCTACTTGGGAGGCTAAGACGGCAGAATCGCCTGAACTTGGGAGACAGTGGTTGCAGTGAGCCGAGATCACACCACTGCACACTAGCCTAGGTGGTGCTAAGTGAGACTCCATCCCAAAAGAAAACCTAAATCATTCATCACTTCATAAAAACTAAATGGGCCAGGGGTGGTGGCTCACGGCTGTAATTCCAGCACTTTGGAAGGCTGAGGTGGGTGGATCACCTGAGGTCAGGAGTTCAGGACAAGCCTGGTCAACATGGTGAAACCCTGTCTCTACTAAAAATACAAAACAACAGCTGGGCGTGGTGGCGGGCACCTGTAATCCCAGCTACTCGGGAGGTTGAGGCAGAATTGTTTGAATTCCGGGGGCAGAGGCTGCAGTGAGCCGAGACCACACGATTGCGCTCCAGCCTGGGCAACAGAGCGAGACTTCGTCTCAAAAAAAAAAACCCTAAATGATTAGCAAAAACATAAATTCACAAACCAACCAATCCATTCTAAGTCACTTGAAAGCACACAGTTCTGAAAATGATTCTCTTTTCGGTTTTCTAACTACACTATCCAGTTACTACACAGAGGCAGGACTACTGGGAGGAATTATTAAAAAGTCAGTCCTAAGCCAGGAGTGGTGGCAAGTGCCTGCAATCCCAGCTGCTTGGGTGGCTGAGGTGGGAGGATCAGTTGAACCCAAGAGTTCGAGTCCAGCCTGGATAACAGGGTGAGACCGTCTTTCTCTTAATCAAAGGTAGTACTAAACTGGTATACACTGCCAAAAACGGAAAAGCCAAGGAGTCGCTCCCCAAACAGCATCACAGAGGCGCTTGCTGCACAGAGCATTTCTGCAGCCCAAGGCAACAAAGGCAAGGATGAAAAGCACCAGGGTCGCTAAGGCCTCTACGCTCTCACTGTTCAAGAATCAGAGTGCATGTGGGGTTGTAGCAGTAAGTCACCAGTGGCAAACTGGCAATTCTCTCTCTTGCCTAGCTAATGACATTAGTAACATCCTATACTATCTTTGTACAATTTTTTTTTTTTTTTTTTTTTTGAGACAGAGTCTCGCTCTGTTGCCCAGGCTGGAGTGCAGTGGCCAGATCTCAGCTCACTACAAGTTCCACCTCCCGGGTTTACGCCATTCTCCTGCCTCAGCCTCCCGAGTAGCTGGGACTACAGACGCCCGCCACCTCGCCTGGCTAGTTTTTTGTATTTTTTAGTAGAGACGGGCTTTCACCGTGTTAGCCAGGATGGTCTCGGCCTCCCAAAGTGCTGGGATTACAGGCTTGAGCCACCGCACCCAGCCTCTTTGTACAATTTTTATGACAATGTATAAACATCTTCCTCACAGAAGGGCAGGTAGTTTACATCTCCCCAGCTGCCGAAGTGGAGCACCTGGTACCCAGCAGGATGTCCCAAGCTGAACCCAGACCTGAAATGTGACAAATTCTGATTCTCATGTTTTATAGTCTAATGTCAACCTTGCAAACAAAGTGATCTCTTAAATAAACTGACTTTTATGCAAAACTAAACGTCCCCTCAAACTAGTTTTTAAAAATCACACAATTGGCTGGGTGCAGTGGCTCATGCCTGTAATCCCAGCACTTTGGGAGGCTGAGGCGGCTGGATCACGAGGTCGGAAGTTCGAGACCAACTTGGCCAAAACACAGTGAAACCCCGTCTCTACTAAAAAGACAAAAATTAGCTGGGCATGGTGGCACGTGCCTGTAGTCCCAGCTACTCAGGAAGCTGAGGCAGGAGAATCACTCAAACCCAGGAGGAGGAGGTTACAGTGAGCCCAGATCGTGCCACTGCACTCCAGCCTGGACAACAGAGTCAGACTCCGTTTCAAAAAATAATAATAAGGTGCCAGGAAAAGAAACGTAGCCTCGTAAGTGTAGACAATGAAATGAAAAGCGTAGACACAGGTGTCAGCAGACAAGTCTCAACTGACACCTATGTTTGCAATTCGTGCTCAGTTTGGTCTTCGTACACTATCACTCTATAACTGAAGATTCTCAGCATGATATAGAACTAAATCCTTAGTCCTCCGATTCACCAGATGGGTAAGCTTGCCTAAGGAATGAAGTAACAAGTACCCGTCATCCCAACTCTGTTGCTTTCTGCATTTGGCAGATGATACTTGATAAATATTTGATGATACATGACAAAAATCTCATTACTTGAGGAACTACCTGTTGCCTACCAGAAAGGAATATAAAATAAGTGCCCAGGAGGAGGAGGCTGCAGTGAGCCGAGATCGTGCCACTGCACTCCAGCCTGGGCAACAGAGTGAGACTCCGTCTCAAAAAATAATAGTAATAATAAAGACTAGGTGCTACCTCCCTTCCAAGCAGTCCCTCTGGGAGGAAGCACAGACTCCAATGGCACTGCTGAAGTGCAGAGCATTTGGGGACCTTCTCATTTCGAATGACCTTCCAAGCCTGAAGAAGTCTTCTGGTGTTCTCCGTGGTGGCAAATCTTCCCCCTCTCAAGCCAGTCTCTGATAAGTGCTGCAAGTCAGAGTCTCACCTCATAAGGTAAGTTACCAACCACATAAGACAACTTTTGGTCAAACCTGGTGGGTGACTACTGATAAAACTGATTTTCCCATATGACTACATTTTTACTACCAAAACAGGAGTTCTAAAGAGGTTTTGGCAAAGAAGCACCAATGAAATACAAGCACAACATTTTGGGACAGTTACTTTCAACAGAGCAGTCCCTATTTGAATGCCTGAGTTCCGGAACATCTGGTTAAAATTCTGACTCATAATCTCACGGGATTACAATATCTAAATGAAAGTTATCAAGGTTGGTGACAGACCCCACTCGCAAACTGACCAAGCTTGACCACTAAACTGCTTGATAAGGAGGTACTCACCTTGAGATGCTCTGTAGCCGTGACAAAACACAAATCTCTTGAAACACGATCTAGGCCACAGGTTAACTTACCTGTTTGCTTTCTGGAGTGACTCCACAAAGCTTTCTTACAACATTTCAGCATGTCCCACCTAAAACGGGAGAGGAGTTTCCGGCTTTGGGACACATTTGACCGGTTCCAGGGCTGGCTGGGCTCCATACTGCCCTTAGATAGTAAAATTATCAGGCAAAGACTCTCCTCCCAAGGCTGGGAAGCGGGATTCAGCCGAGGTCAAGGCTCACCAGGAGAATCTCAACAACTGAACGGGAAAGGACCACTTTACAGACAACAAGCTGGAAGTGAGTCTCAGAAGAAATGATGAGCGCCTTGCTACACCCCAAACGGTACTGCAGATGCCAAACACTCTCTTCTTCCATTTTCCCAAATGGGTCTGAAGAATGACCTACCCTTGCAAATGAGTTAGCGGAACAAAGCTCATTTAAAACGGCCACTCTAACCGGCAAACTCAGCTGTCAAAAGTAGTCAGGAAAACTTAATTTTTGGCAGGAGCAAGGCTGTAAGTTTCGGTTCTTCCAGCATTATATCTGCAGTTAGTTTATATAAAGGACCCAGCACCTCTGATCTCCTGATCCAAGGGGCAAGGAAGTTACATACTCCTAAGAGACCGGCGCGCGTCTTGGGGCAATCACCACGTCCAACCTGTGCACACTCTGAAGCTGCGGCGCAAGTTCCAGGAGGCTCATGAAGAGCTCAAAGTTCTCCGAAGAGCCCAGAAACAGCAAGGGCTGACCTACTCCGGAGGTTAACCTGGGCGCCTCTCACCGCCCCTTAGCGGGCGGCACACATGTGCCACGCGAGTGGCCCGGAAGAGAAATGACAGCTTCAGGAAAATAAACTCCGTCGCGGGGCGCGGAGGCAGCGCGCGAGGAGCTCAGGCGCCGAG